AATCCCAGCACTTGGGAGGCAGAGACAGGTGGATCTCTGTGAGTTCGAGGCCAGCCTGGGCTATAGAGTGAGTTCCAGGACGGTCAGGGCTACTCGTGTTGTTATAATTAAGAGACCCTGTGATGACCACCTCCCCAAACAAAACAAAACAAACCATAAAATCCTTCTTAATATAGTAATTAGGTTTGGGCTGTAGTCTGCCCAGCATTGGTCAAGAGCATGGCTATGGGGGGTCAAGGGACGTAGACAGGCAGCTGGGGGATCTGAGTAGCCTGGACTTGCTCCATTACTATTCCCCCCACCCCATGTTTGACTGTGCAACAGAAAACCAATTCTTCCTGCTGTAACTCATCCTCAGGCTACAGCACAGCCTGGGCCCCAGGGTCCAGATGACTAGAAGCCTTCTGTCTGACCTGCTCTTCAACTTCAATGCAAAGGAGTCTTCACCCCCGATTCATCCATAGGCAAGACTCCTTCTGGGACAGTCCCCACAGGCCCGTAAGTGAGGACAGCAGATTGTGGCTTTAACTAATGTCTTTGGCACAATCTGTTCCAATTGGCCACATTTCTTTTCCTAGGGAAGGTTTTAGGAGAGACTACCCTCGAACTCATGATCCTTCTGCTTGTCTCCCCAGTGCTGGGATTACATTGTTAGCACCATTGCCAACTGAGAAATATCTGGTTTGTTTTGAGACAGTCTCATGTAGCCCAGACTGGCTTCTAACGGATGACCTTGAACTCTCTATCTTCCTGTGTCCACTTCCCAAGTGCTGGGATTACAAATGTGTGCCACCACACCCATCTGAGAAATAATCTACAATAAACAGTACCCTTGGCCTCAGTCTTCCCATTTGAAAAGACGGTACATCAATAGTACCGACTTCTAAGCATTATTGTGAGAGGAATAAAGGCCATAGTGCAGTCAAAGGGCTCACACTCCGTGTTCAGGACATGTCCACTGGTTACCTTACAGAGCATGTGTTGTGTTGAGGCAGATACTCTCTGCACCCACCTTCAGCACATGGGTTGTGAAGGAGGTTCCTTCGGAGGCTTCGGAGGAAGTAGAAGATCTTCCAGTCAGCCACCGGCTGGTCCCAGTCCTCGGTGATGAAGCCCTCTCTCAGGCACTTGCGCTTCCAGAGGGTCACCAGGTCAATGAGGTCTCGCCAGAGGCTGCAGACCGGGCGGCAGCGCAGGAGCAGCTGGCGGGCAGGGATGTGGGTGAAGAGCTCCAGTAGAATGTTCTCTGGCAGCTCGTTGATGTTGCCTACGGCCATGGCAGTGCCTCTGGCGGGTTCCTGTGGGGGTTGGAGAACTGAGCTATACACCCAGCCTTCTCCCTGGCACCTGGCATTTCCAGCACCAGGGATAGAGAGATTCCTAACTCAGCTGCCACTGACTGTCTTCAGAGTCACCGTGGCGCTCTGACCTTCGGTTTTCTCAGGGTACTTCCCTCCAGGGTCACAGGCAGCTCAAGGTGCATGGGCTGGGGATTTCTTAGAAAATGGTGAGCTCTGATTTCCCCCAAGCCCCAACCAAGGAGCTTCCCAAGGTCACACAAACGGGAGGGGAGGGCGAAGCAGCCCTGGCCTTTACTGAAGGTAGAGTCAGCCATTTTCAATGGCCCGGCAGTCTTTTAAGAGGAGGGTAACAATGGGATGCCTTGTGAGCACTCCAGCCAGCCACTCTTCATCCTCTCCCATCCCCCCAACGGGGAAAGGGGGAGAGATGATGAGCGGGGTTATCACTGTCTCAGGACCCGTCACGGAGTACAAAAGGCTCAGTGATGTTCTCAAGATCTCGGAGAATATGACCCGCTTACCTGAGACTGGGGGAAGGTGTGCGGGTGGACAGGAGCCTTCCTATCTCCCTCCCGCACCCCGGTGGTTGGGCTCCAGCCAGAGGCTGCCCGCCCCCGCCCAGGGCCCCTGCAGTCTCACATTTCTTATGCATGACCCTAAAATGCGCTACCGGCTCAAGACGAGGTTCAGACCTCTGAGCATCGATTGCCTCCACAGCCCAGGTCCTCGAGGCTTCACAGTGCAGTGGGGTAAGCCCCGAGGCCTGGGCCTCAAAGGCGTTAGGCCCTCAGGATCGCAGAAAGGCACCCACCTTCCCCCGCTAGGTCCCTGCCCACCACCGCGTCTTCGTCCCCACGCTGCGTGCTTCCCCTCCCGCGGTCACCTGAGATCCGGAGAGCTGTGCGATTCCGCCAGGCCGTGAGGCTGTACAGCCCGGGCCTGCGTGGCCAGGGATACAGACCTGCCCACTACTCGCCAATCCTCTCCCTGCCGGGGCGCTCAGTGAGCCCCTCCTTCGGTCACCTTCGCTCGCTTGGTTGTGCCCTGGCCATGGAACGGCACCCAGAACACGGCCCCGCCCACTGCCCACCAGACCCCGCCCCAACTCCGCCTCACAACATTGGTCCCTCCCTCCCCATTCTCCTTGTCACCCGCGTTAGGCTGCGCTGCGCCAAACCCCCGCTTCTTGGGGCTGAGCCATCGGTGCCAATGGTGGCCCGGGGGGCGACCCGCCCACTGTCTGGCAGACCACGCCCCCGCCCCACCCATTTTTCCTGTCACCCGCGTTTGGTCCTGCTGCCCTACGGGTCTTGGCACTGCGCCTTTCTGTCAGTGTTGGCCCAGGATACGGCCCCGCCCACTGCCCGTAAACCACGCCCACAATTCCTCCTGGCCCCGCCTCACCCGCGCACCCCGGGAACTTGCCCCCTCCGTAGCGTAGGAAAATTACCTGGGGGGCGGGAAGTCGCTGATACCCCCAAATCCACTTGGCCTAGCGCCCGCACCCTCCACACCCCAGCTGCCAGACCCCTGGTGTCCTCCAGCAATCACTCTCCAGGCGCACCTGGAGCCCACCCGTCCCGTGGCTACCTCTGCCCCTCCCCAGTATCCGGCTCCTCCTGGAAGCCGCACCTTGGGCTCCGGGGGCGCGGGGCTCCCGGCCCCCAGCGCGGGGTCAGAGGCGGGGCGGGGCGCGCGGGGCCTTTAAGAGGCGCGGCAGCACCGACCGGGTTGACGCGGGCAGCTCCAGAACTCACCACCCGCAGCGCTCCGGCTCCTCTCTGTCGACCGCGCTGCAGCGATGGATGGAGATGGTGATCCAGGTAGCTGTAGCCGGCCCTGCTCGCGCCAGACCGGGGAGACAGGGAGGACGAGCGCCCCAGAAGGGGCTCAAACTTTCGCGACAGCAAAACCCCGGAGACAGTCTAGGGAGCAGTTTTCTGCCTGGGTCTTGGTGTGGAGGGAGGAGGACGCCTGGGTCTCCAAAATGGCATCGGAGAACGCTGGCATACCAGGCTCCAGACTTCCTGGGGTTTGAGAGCTGGGTTCTTGAAAGCTTTTGCTTCCATCAACTTCTTCCGTTTGCTAGCTCTGCCTGCCCTCCCTTTCTCATGAGCCTCCGGAGTCCCCGCCGGGTCCCGGGGCTTACCAGCCTCACCTTGCATCCATCGTAGATTCCTGAGGGACTCCCTCCTTTGGAGGGGCCACCTTGTGTCGCGGTAGTGGGCTGTTCCATGGGGACCAGGCTAGTGGTGAGGAAGAGTTGGGCTGCTTTTGATGGATACTCTGGGTCCTCAAGGATCTTTTGTCCAGTCATCTTTCCTGGCACCAAAGACCCCACCCCTTCCCCCTCCAGCTCCCCGATGGGCCTGTAGGGGGTTGCTTGCTGAGTCAGGCTGGGGTGCAAACCTGCCTTCCATGACCCCTTCCTCACAAACCACTTTAGGGGAGGCAAGGGAACAGATGCCCTCTAAGGTGGCCAGGCTTCCTTCCATCCCTGACCCCCCTTCCAACTCCCAATTCCCCATCAATATCATCTACAGGGCCCCAGAATAGGCTCCTGTTTTCCCCCAGGGCCCAGGAAGTCCCTGGACTCAGGGGCCCAATCCAGGTGAGTGAGTCAGCGTGGGGTCAGCATCCAGGGCTAGATAACTTTCCTACAGAAACAATGTGGCAACTTGTGTTCAGGGAGCATGGTGGGGGGGCAGTAATCGGATCTGGGGCCTCAATGCCAGGCCTAGGGGCCAGGAGAGAGGACTGGGTGAGGTGCATCTTTCCGGGGAGCATCAGGTATCCACTGGGGCCAGGGAAGGGCTGGGGTGGTGGTGGAGAGGTGAGGACATTGGGCCCAGCTCTCCAGAGAGCTGTGGGAGGCAGAATGGACAGGCATTTTCCTCTCTGTTTGATGCTGTCCTGTGGTGGGACCTGGGAGGCCCAGTTTCCTTGTTGCAGATGGAGGAGTAACCCCTAGATATGAAAATGTGACCAAAAAGATGCTAGAAACGCAGGGAAAGTGGTGTGTGTGTGTGTGTGTGTGTGTGTGTGTGTGTGTGTATAAGAATCACCATGGCTGATGGAGAACTCTCGGTGTGCTCTTAAGAAAGAGGGGAAGTCCTGATTCAGCTTTCCAATGCTGTCAGTGTGGGGATTGCTGGCTGTATCCCATTAGAGGAGTTTTGGGGAACAGGCCATCTGTACCCTCCCCTGACATGGGCCTGCTCCCTGACTGCCTTGCATTTTCAGGGTCCAGTCTTCAGGAACTCTGAAAGAAGCGACTAGTACCCAGGTTGGCTAGGTCCCCTCCCCACTGGCCCTCTCTCCTTGAGAGATACCAGGTACTCAGTGTCTGCTTACTCAAGGCTTCCATGGCCCAGATGAGGCGGGCTGAGATCCAAGGGATACCCAGCTGCCCATACTGTCCTGGGTGTGCAGTGAACTGATCTCAAGAACTCTGCCTGAGAGACACTGCTTCCTTTCTGGTGTCTTGCCCCTACCATGGGGTCAGGAGTTCCCACGGACTTAGCAAGAGTGGCTGTCTTTGTACCCTTGCTCCTCTGTGGGGAGGGGATGAATATCAGTATGATCTGATGGTCTGGCACAATGATGACCCCATTTCACAGATGAGGAGGCTGAGGGTGAGGGGTGGAAAAGAGGGGGGGAGGAGACTCTTACGCAATCACCGAGTACTTCTTTCTCTGTTGGTTTCCTACCCCCCCCCCCATACAACATTGGCTGGGTAGGGACAGCTGGATTGTCCCCACCCTGAGTCCTTGGGTCCTCTACCCCAATATTGCCAGAGGGACCTACACTAAGTCGTTTAACATTTTCCAACCTCAGCATTTTCATCCACAGTATCAAACCAAGACCTAGGCCGGGCAGTGGAGGTGCACACCTTTAATCCCAGCACTCGGGAGGCAGAGACAGGCAGATCTTCGTGAGTTCAAGGCCAGTCTGATCTACAGAGTGAGATCCAGGACAGCCAGGGCTATACAGAGAAACCCTGCCTCCAAAAAACAAACAAACAGAAACAAAAACAAACAAACAAAAAAACACAAAACAACAACAAAAACTCAAACAAGAGCAGAGTACTAATTCAACAAATTCTTTTGTTGTTGTTGTTGCTTTGGTTTTTTGAGACAGGGTTTCTCTGTGTAGTTCTGGCTGTTCTGGAACTCACTCTGTAGACCAGGCTGGCCTCGAACTCACAGAGATCCACTTGTCTCTGCTTTAAGTGTGCTGGGATTAAAGGCATGCACCACCCCTCCTGGCTCAGCACATTCTTTTGGTAACACCACAGCTGTTAAAGTTGGCTCCTGTGTTGGACCGAATGAGTTCAAACACAAGCTCCAAGTACTTATAAGTTGGGTGACCCTGGACCTTGTCACCTCTCTGTCTCTCCATAAAAGAGATGTAGGGCCAACCTGGAAGAGGTGGTTTGGGACTTTAGGAAGTAATTCAAGTGCTCCGAGCAGTATGTCACTCTTGCTAAGTGGTGGTAAAATACAGAGGCTCCTGACTCTACGCTGGTAGGCACTAGGAAGTCTCCCAGTCCTGGTTCTTGCGGTCAGTCCATTGTACACAAAAGGGTTTATTAAACAACCGGACCAGGAACAAAAGCTAGGAAGCCTTTGGATGCTTTTGAGCTTGGGCTGTGAGAGGGTGTGCTAAAGGTATGTCCAGGAAGGCTCCCCGGAGGAGGCAAGGGACCCTTGAGGTCTAGGAGGGGGCTTAGGAGACCTGACCCATAAGTGCAAGGACATCAGTAACCCCAGATCCTTGTGGGTGTCTACTACTCCTGTGGGAGAAGCGGCAGCTGAAGGAATTCTTCTGGTTTAGGGGGAGTATCTGTGCCTCTACCTC